ATTGTGTTATTGTAACAGTAAGGTCACTTACTCGAGGTACTTGCGCTGTTTGGGCACAGACATTTGGTGTTCGTGAGCTTCACAAAGTGACGTTGTCTTCGTTCTCATTGTCACTGTTGCAAAACCCTTATTTACCTTCATATACATTGCCTGAGGATTACAATTTTGCGTTATATGACCATGCATTGTTGAGTACGTTGGGTATGACATTTAGATGGACATTGGGAGATTTGGTTATGTGTAAATTGTGTGAGCATGCATTGGTGGGACAAGGGAAGCAGCCGAAATTCGCTTTAGCCAACTTCGTTTACTATGGCAAGTTACGCCTTCCTATGAATTTCGCCCACACGCTGGATGCGTCTTCCCCTTTAGATATTACATTAGTGGCGTACTGTAGAGCTTCGGTGATTTGTCACAAGTATTCTAGAAAGCCAGAGAGTGTGTCGTATGGAAGACCGGAAGGAATGTTGCAAAGCTACTCAAAAGGTAATGTCTCAGTGTTGCCCCAAGACACTTTTCAGTTAAGAAGTGTACTTCCTCCAGACTATGAAGAGATATGTGATACAATGTGTGCTTTGCTGGTTAGCAATGATGCCAAGATTGACAAAGAACTTTTAAGGAAACTCAAACTGATTTTGGTGAGGAAGTTGCACTTAGTGACTATGATAGATTTTCTTCTTCTTTATAATCCGTGGTATATATTGAGAGGCGTGTCGTTCAGCAAGGCAAATTTGAATACATTATTCAGCGATGATGATGCTGATAAGGACGCGGCAATTCCTTCTGCAGTAGAGATTAGTCAGTTTACTCGTGAGGATGATAAAGCCCCTGCAGACTACACGACGAGGGACAAATTGATTGAGGATGTTGGTGATGGGGCCTTGTTGATGGAAGCGGTAGGGTTTACAGCCGGTGACCATTCTGCATCTAATCGGGAAGCTATGAAGGTACACGCTCTTGCGTTCGCTTTAGACCATAATAAATTCATCATGTCGTGGTCAGGCAGTCAGTTCGTACATGATGATGATCCAGGCCTTATGTCTTTTCTCTTTCCTCATCTTGATCCATGGGGCATTGGTGATTTTCATCATCCCATGCAAACTGATGCGCAAAAATTATCTTTTCATAGTCAATTGAAGGCTTTGTTGAGGCAAGAGGACTCTCCCTTTGAAAAAGATCCAAACTTTGTGTTTATATGTTGGAATACAATTCAAAAACAAGAAGTTAGTGCATCCACTACCTTTTGGGTGAAGTCTAACTCGCATCTTAGTATAGTTGCTGATATCCTTTCAATTGGGCCTAATTTTGGCGCATTGTCAGCGAAATTTCATGAACATCCAATGTTACGATAACACAATTTTTGGACCTTCTCTTTACTTTTATTCTCCGCTTTAACTTTATACTTTAGCTTTCACACATGGTGTCACGTGGCACTTCCCCTTTCTCGCGCCGCATTGCCTTCTTCTTATTTTGGACACAACTCTCCCACAAAGTGGAGCTGGCCATGCGGGCTAGGCCCTATGACATCATCAGCCACTGTTTCTATCAACTGTATAGTACACATGTACAAACAACCCTGTAGTAGTATATAAACTCCAATAGATCCAGGAGACTCAGCGAGTCCTCCTGTTGTATACCAACTAACTCTCTGCATCTTAAGGGGTAACCACTCCATCATCATCTTTCTCTATAGTGTGTTCCTGTGTGCGCCAGAGTAAATCTTGGTTGTTACATCCAACATATCAAGGAGAAACAGAGGAAGAGAAAAAGGCTTTGAAGGTTCTCCGCCGATCAATTGAATGTTGTTAGTAGCCAAGTGAAAGGTTCTGCGGGCTACAAAATATGTCGCAGGAATGAGATTTGAGCTATGATGAAGAGTTTTAGTACTCCTGCTTTGTTTGTAACTATTAATCCATATGATTTAATGATGTACTTGATTCCGGTCTTTGGTGGCATACAGTGTGACAATTGACGTACCAGTACCTACTTACACTTCACTTTTTCGTACTTTTACTTTTACTTTTTCCAAGTCACATGACCAGTCATGTGACCATTTACTTTACATTACATTTTCGACTTTTCATAGTCACATGACCGGTCATGTGACTCATCACCTGACCAATGTCTAGACTCATCATGTGATTGGTCACATGCTAAACATCGGACTTTAAACCTTACTTACAACTGTATAGTACATATGTACAAACAAACCTGTAGTAGTATATATACCCTAATAGATCAAGGAGACTCCTCAGCGAGTCCTTCTGTTGTCTAGCACAACTAACTCACTGCAGCCTAAGGGGTAACCACTCCCCATCATTACCTTTATAGTGTGTTCCTGTGTGCACCAGAGCAAATAACTCTTGGTTGTTACATACAGGTTGATGTTTGGCAATCAATGGGCTCTTTTGCAAGGGCTAATTATGTTGCTGAACATCCTGCTGTTGCTGCAAAAGTGTTCGACTGTGTGATCACCGCATTCTTTGAAATTATTGTTAAGCTGAACAATGAGCGTCGCTACTTTGGCATATGCAAAGGGTATTACGGTATGGTGGAGGCCCAAGGGAGAGGGACACTTCATTGCCATATGCTCTTATGGTTGGAAGGAAATCCTGGTCCCCAATTGCTGCATGATTGAATGGCAATTGAAGAAGATTTCAAACAGGAGATGTTTTCTTGGCTGGAAGACATTATCTCCTGCAAATTGCCAGGAACAATGTTATGTATACCGAGCAGAACACTATCTTCTGTGGTTAAACCTGTCAGAGATGAAAATGAGATAGATCCACATTTAGAGATACCACCGCAAGCTATTGACATGGATAAGGATTCTTTTGCTGAAGAATTTTGGTTGTTTGTAACAAGATTAGCCATTGAGTGCAATTGGCACAAGCATACCAAAACATGCTACAAGCATTTAAAAAATGGAGAGCGTCGCACTGAGCATAATTGTAGGATGCGGTTAAATGGAGAAGTTTGTGCTTTGACAGAGATAGATGATGAGACTCAATCCATTCTTTTGCATTGCTTCCATCCACGTATTAACAATTTCACCAACATAGTTCTGTTTCTTTTACAAGGGAATATGGATATTAAATATATTGGTTCTGGTCAAGCTGCAAAAGTATTGGTCTATTATGTTATAGATTACATCACTAAGACAAACTTGCAGACTCACGTAGGATTAGGAGCCCTTGAGTATGCCATCAAACAACATGACAAAAAGTATAGCAATGATAGTATGTCTTCGCGCTCAACTCAGGAACAACATTTGCTTACCAAGTGCGTGAATGCGTATATGGGAAAACAGGAAATGTCACATCAGCAGATAATGAGTTATATTGTAGGAGGAGGAGATTTTTATGCAAGTCATACTTTTGAGACATTGAAGTTATTCAAATTTAGTGATGCTCTGCATGCACATGAGCAGCAGTTGTTGATTGCTCGACACAATTCACTCGCTACTGATACGGAGGAAGACGCTGTAGTTGACCTTGATGATGATAGTCCACAGTTCAATTCAACAATTTTGACTGTTAAGCATAATGAGGTCAATATGTTAGATGGGGTAGCAGATTATACACTAAGACCTGCGGAAGAATCATTTAGTGCTCTTTATTTGTGGGAGTTTACAGAGTGGGTCGTCAAAATTGTATGCTTTCCACTATTTCTACGGATGTTGAAGATATTGAAGACAATGGAGAAAGGAATCCAGGCTGATGGCCACGGTAACCAAAGGCGCGGAAGGAGAAGTAATGAACATGCCAAATTGTTGAATGATTTACATCCGCAGTATGCTACTCATTTTGTTAGACTTAGGTCTGCGTCTGTTGTGCCTGTTTTATTGATAGATTCAGTACCTAAATGTAATTGTAGTGAAGAAGAGCACAACTTGTGGTGCAGGTTAATGCTCTTGCTCTCTAAACCTTGGCGAGAATTTACTAACCTCAAAGAAGCTTTTGCTACTTGGACAGAAGTGTTTGACCACGTCGAGTTTCCTCCTCATTTGCTGCAGATTATGAAAAATATGGACATTTAGAATGAGTGCAAGGATGCTCAAGATGGAATGTCTGAATCATTGCAAAATAATATCTTGGATAGTTTACCTTTCATAAGCAGGAATCAGGAAGATGATAATGATGAGTTGGAAGAAGCTTTATTAGTGGATCCTCTATTAGATAGTGCAGACAATAATGATGATGACGACGACTACATTAATTTGCAGAAAAGTGACTTGAATGTGACAGATCCTAGCTTACATGATGCATTAGAAGCTGCAAAAACAGCTGATCAAGTCGGATTATTTCGGTCAGCAGTCTCTGCTCTGCTCTGCGTGGAGATATGTTAATTGATAGTCCAGTAGCCAGTGTCTCTGATAAGGCAGAAATAAAAAGACTTACCAGTTTCATGAAAATTGAAAGATCCAACAGGCGACCGTCCAATGTCGTTCTTGAGAATCAAGCATGCAAAACGTAAGATAGAAGTGGACAATGTCCGAGTTGACAACGGAGCCAAACAACTTTGCATTATATGGAGGCTAGTGGCAGTGGCTTGTCTGGAGATTTTAATATTAATGATGATACACTATTCATTGTGGATGATATTTTATGCTGTTTTGAGATCATAGGGAATTATGAACAAGAACGCGCCATC